AGAGAGAGAGAGAGAGAGAGAGAGAGAGAGAGAGAGAGAGAGAGAGAGAGAGAGAGAGAAACATTGAATCAAGTTTTTAAAATGCCAATGTCTAGTAATTTTAGTTTGATTTAATCAGCTATGTTTATTGAGAATTTCTCAAGATAGGTCTAAGCTCAGAATTTTATAACAAATATTTATTTATTTTTAATTCATATAAACCAAAAATAAATAATTTAATTATATTAAATATAATATGTATGAGTAAAGCTTTCAATATATCTTGATGAACAGATGAGAGTAATTGCTTTGTCATTTTTATTTAATCATGGATATATTAATTCCAATTCTAATTTCTATTTTGTCTGGATTATCCCATGTAAATACATTTTCTGTGTTGTATACAAACAGAAAGTAACAATGTATTTGAAAAGTTAAGAAGAGTTTGAAACATCAGAGAAAATAGGCAGTTTTTACACACACAAATATTTTTAGGTATAACTATGAATAACAATTTTGTCTGACATACTGTTTCCAGCTCTAAATCAATACCATCCTGTTTTTAAAGAAGATTTGATTTAACTAGTCTATAATTTTGACTTATTAATGGATTGATTATGTGCAATCAATATGCATTGAGTGACTTATGTGCAAGTCATTTTTGACTCCTAGAGAGATGAGAGATTTCATGACAACCTATCCCTAACCTAGTCTTTCAGATCTTCTACTGGTGTGTTCATTACCAGTTTAACTGAATTTATCCACCTTCCCTTTGGTTGTCTTCTTCTCTTTCTTTCCCAGCATTAATGCCGTCTCCAAAAAGCTAGATCTTTGCATAACATGTTCAAAGAAGGATAATTTGAGCCTGATTATTATTTTTCCTTCTTTAAAACAATCAAAACCCTCTGAAAATCAACATATACTATCACTTTCATCATCATTTTATCATCGCTTCTTCCCCTTCTCCTTCTTTCTTTATTACCTTGATCTAACCAAGGAAGGCACTTTTGGACACTATTGGACTATTATTTGTTTTTGTTAACCAATTTTTACAGTTTAGTGAAAGCATGCTATAGCATTGTGTGTGGTCTGTGACTAGTACTTTTTTGTATTGAGGGTATTATAGATAATCATCTAGGAGACACCTGACTTTTTTCTTATGAGCTAAGACCAGCTAGCAAAACACAATTATTCAAGATGATTCAGAAACTGATTTCAGGATGTTGTAGGATTGACATAGGACAGTTATACACCTAGTGCATACTAAACTATTTTGATAATGTTTTTGGCAACATCAGCAGACTAATCTGATTGAATTTAGAGGCTATGCATTTGTCCCTTCTTCCTCAAAAATTCAGAGATTTTACATGTACAGTGAAATAATAAGGGAATTTTCAAATTGTTTCAAATCTCAAAATCTTCATTAAAAGATATTCAGATCACAAATCCAATCTCTGGTGATAAAAAAATAGTTGCAAACTTTTTTCTTCTTCCCTTGGAACCCATCAAATTCTTGTGGAGCCTCAGAGTTCTGTGGAATAGTGAAAAGTCCTGTTATAATATATGCATCAAGAAAAGATATTGAGGAAATCGTCCATGTTCAATCTACACAGGTAAGACTTTTCAGAAAAAGTCCATTAGAGACTTCCAAACACTAATAATTGCAGTAATTGATCTTTCTCTAAGCAAATAAGTTGCCACCTTTGTAATTCAATCTTCTTCACCAACTATTCCTCCACTGTGGCTATTTCAGAGTCTTTCCATTTTTGCACATATAGTAGTCTCAAAGTGGTAATCATATATGAAAGCAGTCTTCCATAGCTTTTTCTAATTGTCTAATAGTACTAGCAAAAAAGTTCTAATTGAATATTATTCTTTAAAATTCTTTGTATTATTATATGTATTTGAACCCCAAATTTTCTGGCTTTTTACAAGGCAATCAGGCATGATAAAATGACCCACATTTCCAACAAAATTTGAAGTACATTTATACATTCCAGATAATATTTTTGGAGACATATTCCAATGGTATATCATTTTATGAAACTTCTCTTTTAAATTATAATGTAATGTGAACATCACTTCTTTCAACCACTGTTCAAACAATATGTTATAATCAAAGTTCATAGCCCTTTTTATCATACAGCCTATCACTTATTCTTCCTGTGTTCTGCAAAAGGTTACAATTTCAGCAATTATAATATTGAACAATAATTTTAAAATATTAAATTATTATTTAATAATTTATTGAAGAATAATTTAAATGTTACAGCTAAGGTCTAGCCTTACCTTTTGCATCAGTGAGATTCTTGAGGTACACTTTAGTAGCCTAAAGATGTTCTAACAATTTTTTACTGACTGACATATAGAAACTGATAATCTTTATAAATATGAGAATGGGATTTATATAACAGGGAAGCTACCTTAAGTATAGTAGGGATATAGTTATTGCCCTAGCAGAAAAACATAAAATAAAGGAATAGCTAAGTCTTCCAATTGATAGCATGCTGAAACATTAGCATTTCTTTTAACTGGTCTCTGATATTTAACTGAGCCAAAATACTTTATTTATTTTGATAATATAATAAATAAATTATAAATAAATGAATATAATATAATAAATGAATATAATAAATTAGGTACAGTTCAACATTGGATCAAAGAGCTATTTCTCGTGTCTTGAAAAGCAATCAAAATAAGTGATTTATTACATATCTCCAATGACAACAATGATAATTAAGAACATACAACACTACTTAAAACATCTCATAATTCTAAAGAAGATCCTGACACAATTAAGTCATCAATAAAACCACTCAAGCAAAAGCTGAAAAAGAATGGGAGAAGGATATATCTTAATTATGATAAATATAGCAGGTATGTCCAATCAAATTAAGGTAATGTTTAACCAAATGTTTTACATTAGTGTTATTTCCAGTAAAGCTCACAACATTATGTGCTTAAAATGGCACACACACACACACACACACACATGAGAGAGAGGGGGGGAAGAGAGAGGGGGGGAAGGAGGGAGGGTACTTGAGATATTTGAATTAAATGTCTGAATGATTTTTTGTTTAATATGATAAGGACATTGTATACACACATCCTAGAATCCCAAGTACCAAAACTAAACAGGAATTTAAAATTTTTAAAGCTAAATTAGGAAAAACATCCTTCAAAAAGCATGTACTTGAGGAAAAAAACTGAGAAGTTTTTAAAAAGTGCAATTTTATTAAGATAAATGCTAAGCTATTTTACAACCCTCCCCCTAACTAATCATACATCTAATTAGAAACTAATAAAAATTTAAAATCAATAAAAATAGGAATCCTTCTTCAGATTTATTTATTTGATTTATATGCCATTCATCCCATTTTTGAAGTGACTCTGTGTGGCTTAAAAATATGGTTTGATCTCAGAACATAAACCAATAAAATAAGCAATCAAGTATAAATTAGAAGGCACGGTGGCAATGCCTTCATGAAATATAAATGGTTTTGGCTGCAATTTTTAAAATCCTTAATTTTACAGAGAGGAAAATGAATTTAGTACTGTTTACAAGTTTTACAGCTCTATAACTGTAAAAACCAGAAGAGAAAACAAGAATAAGAATAAAACAACTGAAATAATTCTACTAGTACATAGTACATAGTATAAAATAGCAATAGCCAGCTCTTCACTTTAGAAGGATAAGGTATGATGGTAATAAGCAAAATAAAATTTGACAATTTTAAATTTTAAAATGTATTTTGCTAATGAATTATCAGTTGTTAATGGCTGTTTACTGTTTACCGGGTAGTTGTTCTACCCAAACTGCACATTGCAGTATTAGAGGCTTTACACGTAGGGCATCCTGGAATTGTCAGGATGAAGTCTTTGGCTAGGAATGTGGTGTGGTGGCCTAACATGGACAGGGAGATCGAAGAATGGGTGGCTACCTGCATACCATGCCAGGAGTCCAGACCATCTCTCCCAGAGGTGCCCGCCAAAGAGTGGGAGTGACCACAAGCACCATGGTCTAGGTTGCACATTGACTTTGCTGGCCCAGTTCATGGCCAGACATTTCTCGTAGTTGTGGACGCCCACTTGAAATGCTTAGAGGTAGTCCTGATGACCTCCACTATGGCAGAAGCGGTCATCAAGGTGCTACGGAGACTTTTGTCCATGCATGGCCTGCCCGACATCTTGGTCTCAGGCAACGGGCCCCAATTCACAGCCATGCAATTTGAGGCCTTCCTAGAAGCTCAAGGAATCAGGCATACCCTTGTCTCCCCATTCCATCCGGCCCCCAATGGTCAGGCGGAGAGAATTGTGAGATCTGCAAAAACGGCCCTGTCTAGGATGGGCCCGGGAGATTGGCAAACACGGGTTGATCACTATTTGCTAATTCAGCACATCACACCCAGTGCCACAACAGGGAGAAGCCCCTCCAAGCTTCTCATGGGTCACCAGCTAAGGTCTCACTTCGACCGGCTACACCCCAATTATTCTGCCTCATCGCCCTCAGACTCCACAAGCAAGATTCGGACATTTAGCATAGGGGATTCAGTATATGCCCACAACTACACCGGTGGAACTCTGTGGATTCCTGCCACAGTGATAGGCATCACCGGGCCTTGCTCTTATCTTCTAGAGCTCGAGGACGGTCGGAATTGGAGAAGGCATATTGACCAACTCCGTGGCTGCCTCTCCAACTCCACTCTTAGACAACCAGAGGTAACTCCTGCACGAGTTAGCCAAAGCCTTACCCAAACGGAGCAAACACTCACTCCTTCCACAGCCAGCTCAAGCCCGAAGGTACCGAGAAACTTATCTGGTTTTGTTGCAGACCCGCAGCGAGCTCCGAGCGAACTGGTTCTAGAAGGTCTACCCGCGGCCTGTGAAAGGTTCCAGGAGCTTCCACCAAGCGGAGCTGCGAAGCAAACAGGTCTATCCAACCTGTCCAAGGAAACCCCTCCTACTGAATTGCGCAGGTCAGGCAGAGCTACCCAAATGCCCGCCTACCTGTGTGACTATGTTACAAGTAGAATTGTTCCAACCAAGAAGGGAGGGGTGTTAGATATTAGTTCTATCTACAGTGGTTTCCATCAAGGTCCTCTGTTCTGGTGGGAACAGAGATTTAATCCTATTGGTCGAAGGGTTTTTTATCTGTAAGCCGCCCTGAGTCTCTTGAGAGTGGGCGGCATACAAACCCAATAAATGAATGAATGAATGAATGAATGAGCTCCCTATAAAAGGGCTGCTATCAGATTCAACCTTTGCTGGATTGCTCTCACTTGTTGCATTCAATAAAGAGCTGTTGTTACCGTTAAGCCTGTGTGTGCTTATCCATTACCCAATCTAACATGATATGTATCAGGAAATGAAATATATTAGAAAAATATCATTTTTAAAAATAAAAAATAAGTCTAATAACAATAACAGCTCAATAGCACTCCTTTATAACAATAATGATTATGAATTTAATAATCTTAACAATTCTTAGATTGAAAGCAGTGAAATAAAACAAAAAACTAAAGAGCAACCTATTACTAACATTTTAAAATATATGCTGAATTCATGATTATTTTAATATAATACATATTGTATTAATCCAAAAATATATAAAGTTAATGTACTGAAAAAGGAATTAAGATAGTGCTAGAACTTTTATGGGTACTTTTTGTGACAAATTACATTCGTGGTCCAGGAGACTTAACTATGAAAAATGATCCTTAAAGGCTGAAAGGATTTAAATCAGGTCAGGTTTTAATAATTTGCACCTTATGTTTATAGTCAGAAGTCTTAAGTTAATGTTTTATTATAATTGTTTTCCAGGTTATTATTTTAAAAGTTCATTATTAATGTTCATTATTACATTTCCTTTCCACAATATGAAGTCCCAAAGCCAAGTGTTTAGACATAAAAATGTTCAAAAAATTATAGCAGATTATTGGCCATGAATGGCAGCCTAGCTGCTCATTCATTAGAATTACAAAATTTTGTAATGTATCTTCAATATTATTTTTTTCCTAAAAAATTAACATATTCATTATTTATTTGTTGCTATAATCTTATATCGTACTTTATATAATGATATAAGCAAAAGTGAAGGACTTGCAATCACTAAAGAGTGGGTAGAGAGAAGATTAGATATAAAAGATATGAGAACAATTGTGTGTTCACACAGTATTTACATTTCATTTCCAAAGTGTTAGATATGTTTATTGTTCCCCAGAATGCCTGACAAATAGGCAATTAATCAATTTATCATTTTCTGAAAAAAGATAATAATACAGCAAAAGTCTTGTCTCATCATCAAAAAAACAAAATGAGGACTCATTATACAGAGGCAAAGGATCTATTTGCCAATTTATTCAATAAAAAATGGTTCTAAAATTCTGCATATCCAATAGTTTTACAAGCAATTATATTTAACATGTTTGCCAGGCTGTTGTGAAGCATATAATTATTATTTAGCTTATATAATACAGTTTATTTTTCTAAAAGAACATGAACTAAATCTAACCTTTTCCTTTATTAATTGTTAATTTAAATGTTAAAACTTTCAGTTCTACTTTTAAATTTTATGTTTTTGAGATTAAAACATTTAAGGCTGAATTTATAATGCAGGCCATTCTTCTCCAATTTTGTGGAATCCAGAATGTTGGTTTTATTTCCATAATTCTTATCCAACATAATTAACGGCTTTGCGAGCTCAGGATTTGGGGATGTGAAGTCTGATATACCTAAAAAAAGCCACACTTACAAAAGTGAAATAAACTTTAGCCCATATCACTATGAGCAGGTCTATATTTAATAAAGCTTTCTGTCAATACTTCCATCTAATTAGAAGTGCTTAACTGAAAATATATGGCAAATCCTCACAACAATGTCACAGGCAAAGGGAAGTGTGACAAAGATTAAATATCTCTCTTAAAAAAATAACATATTTCTGGTGGTGAACTTTAGAATGTAGACACTATTAAGAATGTAAATTACAGTTTAATATCCTGACATACTCATAGTAGGAAAAAATTCATTTGCAAGTAAGGAAATGTTTGAATTTCTGTCACAATCTATTATTATCACAAAGCTAAACATTAGCAAAGAAGATAAGTTTAGTGTGGCTTTCTAGGTATTTCATTACTGCAGCACTTGCCACTATTTTAACTCTTACACAAAGAATTGAATCATTTCAGATAATTACACAATTAATGCTCAGTAAATGGGTGAAAAAAATATGATTCCATCATAGGGAGAGAAAAATAGACATTTAATTAACTAAATGGAATTATCATGTGTAGATTAACTACTGCAAAAACTGAGAAATTTTAGAGAAAAAATGGGAAGAATCAATAAGGCATTACAATGCTGAGATAGTTACCTCTTCTTGAGGCTTCAAAACTATCGAAGAGATTAATTCTCTGGATGTCATAGGTCAATGTAGTATTAGGCATCAGTGTTCTGTTTCTGTTAATATTGGTGACTGCAAACTTGAAAGCTAGTTCTTCAACATTAACAGGTTCATTTTCCACCATTTCAAATATCCCCCCTGCAAAAATAGAGAAACAAGAAAAAAAAAAGTTACCCTAATTCTAGTTTGCTATAAAATAAACAATATGGAATCCTTGGATATCAAAGTGTTAAATAGAGCAGTCTTTTTCAATCTCAGCAACTTTAAGATGCATGGACTTTACCTTCCAGAATTCCCTAACCAACATGGGGAACATCTTAAAGTTGCTGAGATTGAGAAACAGTGCACTAGTTAGTTCAAGATAGAGCATGACTAGAGGGTCATATGCAACACACAATCAGCACACCTGTTGTAGCCTTCCAGAACATCCCTAGAGTGATTGGGGCAAATATTTAAAATATTTTTGCACTTGGGGGTTGGTTGGTTAGTTGGTTGATTAAAGAACAACATTTCTGCCTTAAAACTTGATATGTTTAAGCTTTAGACATTTTTGAAATCTTTGAAAATGATCCACTTGGAAATGTATAACTTCAAGAATCATGGTATGTATAACATGTATAGTTGTGTATAAGCTCATCCACACAAAAGCTGATTCTCAAATTTTTACTCAAAATACCATGGAAATGAGCCAGATAAGCTGACCCACATTTTTCATTGTATTTTGGTTAAACAACCAGTACGCTGCGCACGGGGCAGGGCATCCTGGTTGGACATGGGCGCTGCGCATGCATGCACATGCCACCGTCCTGTAACACCCAACTACTCGGTCTTGCAATGCAAGCACATACTGGTACTTTAAAAAAATACCATATATACTCATAGATAAGCCCATCCATAGATAACTCAAACCCAATTTTAGGGGGCGTTTTGACACCCAAAATGACAGTCTATTCCACCAGATGATGGTCTTGCATGAACCTTCTCCTTATAGATTTACTCATTTATTATGGTCCTGCTTAGAGACTAAGTCCACACCTTGTGTGTGATAATTATTCAGTCCTTGACTTATGACCACAACTGAGCCCAATATTTCTGTTGGTAAGTGAGACATTTATTGTGGGTTTTGCCTCATTTTGTAACTTTTCTTGCCACAGTTGCTAGATATGTTGCTAAATTTAAGTTAAGTGAATCACTGCAGTTGTTAAGTTAAGGAACTCAGTTGTTAAATGAATTTGGCTTTCTCTTTGACTGCTTGTCAAAAGGTCACAAAAGGAGAATTGTATGACATCAGGACACTGCAACCCAGTGGTAGGTTCCATGTGGTAGGTTTGGCTGAACTGGTAGTGGTTTGGCAGCCTAGGTCACTGGAACTGGCAGCGACCCAGGCCTGCCACGCCCTTGAAATGGTTCTCCAGGCAGCACCATAGGCGGCACCAATTTTTATTGCTCTGTCCATGCGCATCCACAAGCAAACTGGCAGTATTGACTGCTGGAACCCACCCCTGCTGCAACCATCATAAAAATGAATCAGTTGCCAAGTGTTGGAATTTTGATCAAGTGATCATGGGGATGCTGCAACAGTTGTAAGTTTGAAAAATGGTCATAAGTTACATTTTTCAGCACCATTGTAACAGTCACTAAATAAATTGTTATAAGTCAAGGACTACTTGTGTTTGAAGATTGCTGACATATTTCCTCTCTTGCACACAAACAAAATATTGTTTTCCTTTAATGCTTCCTCACAGAGTTAACTTTCATGCCTCTCACCAAGTTAATGGCCTTGTTTTGAACTTCTTCCAATTGGTCATTTTCCTTTTTGAATAGTGGTACCCATAACCAGATATAATTCAAATATCTGTAATGTATATAAAGATACTGAATTAAAAAGGGAAAAAGAAAAGTGGCTTTCAGAAGCTGCTTTTGATTTTCACATATCATTTACTTATTTAATGTTAATCACTAAATAATAAATGGAATTTTTTAATCATTGATTCCCCATGTAAAATTTATTTACAAGAAAATGTAATCTTGTAATGTATTGCAATGGTCTTTGATTTCAGTATGTCCTATAAACAGAGTAGCATAATCCTCATCTGATGCAGGAAAAAGAAAAGCATAATGGAATTGTAACTGTTCTATATCTTAACTTAATAGTAGCAGTATTAATAATACATAGAAGAAAAGTCTAAAAAGTTATGGAATGAATTTTCTTGCCTATACGTGGCTATAGATATATTTGTAATATTATTTCAAAAGGTGAGAAGATAGATGTTATGATTTATTGTTTATATCTGTTTTTTTCATATAGCACTCCAAATGACTTAGAGCAATTAAAAATACAAATTATGAAACAGCACAATTAAAATTAAGTAAAAACTAAAATCAACGTTAAAATAAATTAAATTAACCAAACTTGGTGAAAGAGAGTGTTTCATATTTTTCTTGAACATTGAAGATGTGGCAAACTTTCTTTGAGGAACGCATTTCATAGGCATTCACATCTCACAAAAGAACAATCTCTCTCACTGAATATTCCAGCAGCAGCAGATTCTTCAAAAGGGACTATTATTATTATTCCAAGTGGCATATGTAATGCTCCTACCCTCGTGCTATAATTAGATAGGCAAGTTTGCTGACTACTTCTCAGTCAGGCTTTAAGCTATTTATGGCTTCAAGGGTCAACATCAGCCTTTTATATTGTATTTGGTTGGCAGCTGGCTTACTAAACCCACTGGCTCAGGAACAAGCACAATTGATGACAGCCATACATGTATCAATGTGTAGCTATCCTCTTTAAATCCAGTGGTAGGTCAATAAACATTCCCACATTGTGTATCTGCTTTTTCTAAGGGAGGGCAACTCTCTTCAAATATACTTCACCTCAATTCCAAGTACATCCCTCTCCTTACAAACATCACCTATGTCTTATTTGGATTAATTTCATCTTATTCTCCCTCATTCAACCCATTATTGAGTTCATGCAACATTAAAAGGTGCATTGAAAACCTTCTTGGATGTACATGGGAATAAATAATAGACTACCTCATCCCAAGGTTTTTAATGACCATGCTTAATATTTTTATCAAGTAAATAATACAAATGACAAAATTAGCCTTCAAATTGGGCTCATTTCCATTTTCCTATTTGAAAACAAAAAGAAATTATTGGTTTGTGTGTTTTTCTGCAAGTTAAAGCAATGGATAACAACCAGCCCTTCTCAGATTTGTGAGAATTAGCCTGTGAAAAGTCAGAAGCAAAGAATCTGAAACCAAATCTGTCCATTACAATCACACTACAGTGTTGCAGAAAATCAGGAGATTTGGACTGTGAGATCAAAAAATAGCTTTATTTGGCCAAATGGTTCAGATAGAGATAATTTTCTAACATCTGAACAGCGTTCTAATCCAAACTTGCATTCTTATATTGTATTCAAAGCATCAAAAACATGGAAATATTTCAAAGCATTCTTATTGGCTAAATTCCTTAATTCTAAGCAGAGAAGCGAATTCTACCATATTTCCCTTTCATATCTAGGCTGCAGTAGGCAAGCAGGAAGCACTCAATACATACTGGCTTTTGTGCTTAAGCTATATGCCTGACTCATAGGAGAGACCCCCTAACTGACTTGGCCTCCTTAGAACAGATGTTGTGGTCTGACATTTGTATTTCCAGAGTTCAAGTTTACGGTTCAAGACTCAGTAAATGTATAACAAAATAGTAGGGATAGATGGTGGTCCCCAGGAGGTCTTATAGTCTGACCCTGTTTCATGTTATGTTCAAATCTCGCTTTATGTCCTGCCTTAACAGAGGTGTCAATAGCTCCTACTACTACTGAAAAATAAGAGGCTTAAGTAATTATTTTATTTTATTTTTACACAGATATTACATACTTTTTAACTGATTCAACCAACTATTCTTTGCCTTTTTTGCTAGATATCTTGGGAATTTTGTCCTTTTCTCTTCCAGATTGAATTTTATCACTCCATTCATTTTTGAAGTTGATGTCTAAATATTATCTAACAGAATTTTTCAAGCACTATGAACAAGTATATTCATGAATAAAAATGATACATGTTAGAGATTCACTGAGTTATGTTCCCCTACTTAACTGATCATTATTAAACTTCACCAGTAATATTTTTATTGTCTTGACAGTCTATGGTCTGTGGTTCTTTTAATGAGTAATAGACAAGTAGCTTCTGTCTGAAATGACATAAAGCAAGTTCATTATCCTTTTTAAAAAGCACTGCTGAGAAATTTAGGAACATTAATTATGTCAGTTGAGCCACTGGGAAATATCTTCAGGCTTGAAAGTCTAATAAAACAAAAAACTCCAATAGGAATTACTAATCTTCAAATCCTATTAGACCATAGTAAAGCTTTAAGATCCTTTTAAAACAATCTGTGGATTGTGCCATGGCTCCAAGCAATCATTCTAAGCCAGAGTTACTGATTCAAGTTTCATTTTATTCTGAATGTGTCCTCCAACAAATTTGAATCAGAGCACACTTAAAGCAGGGATTTGGTTCATTTAATTTAGATTTCAGCAGGCACAATCATTGTTCTTGTTCATACAGTAAAATGTGATTTGGTTAATAACCTTTAATTTATTGAAAGGTAATATTTTAAACTACCCTATTTTTTGGAGTACAAGATGCACCTTCCCCCCCCAAAAAGTGCATGGAAATGTTGGTGTGTCTTATACACCGAATACAGCCATTTTTTGCCTCCAGAAGCCCCGCCACTGTATCCCATTTTTGTGAAAAACAAGCCCGTTGTTTTTTTTTTTTTTTTTGCAAAAATGGAGGCTTTGTTTTTGCCTTCCCTTAGCCCGCAGCAGCCCTTTGCAGGCTTCAGCAGAGCTGGGGCAAGGCAAAAATGCCATTTTTGCAAAAAACAGACCATTTTTGGCTTGCCTTGCCCAGGCCCTGCTGAAGCCCATAGAGTGCTGCTGGGGACTGAGGGAAGTCAAAAACTTTTTTTTCCTACTTACCTCTTTGAAATCTTGGTGTGTCTTATACACTGGTGCATCTTATAGTCAGAAAAATACGGTAGTATGCATATGTGCATAATGTAATCAGAAAAAATTACTTTAAATTTTCATAGGATTAATGGAGACAGCCTTGCAACTGTTTGTC